ACACACACACACACACACACACACACACACACACACACACACACACACACACACACACACACACATACATATATATATATATATATATATATATATATATATATATATATATATATATAGAGAGAGAGAGAGAGAGAGAGAGAGAGAGAGAGAGAGAGAGAGAGAGAGTAAGCGTGATTGATTATATCATCTATCTCCATCGTCAGCACGATTTCCACATCAAGTTTTCATTGAAAGAATACGATCAGCAGATTGATAATACAGTTTGAGTTCTGTCAAGACGCAAGTGACCCCGAATTCACAACGTTGGCAAATATGGAATTAGATATTTACTGTATTCAATGTTCATTTTATCTCTTATTCTATGCGTCGCAAAACGGAGTGTTATAGATTCAAATATTCTATGCTCTATTTTCAGGAATAAATGTATCTCATCACTGATCATTATGAGTGGCAACAATGTTAGAAACATTGTTTATTATCCTTTATATGGTTTCTGTTTAATTAGTGTTAAGCTTAGTTAAAATGAAATAGTCATTATCTATTAGATATATTAGAAAAAAATATTTCATCAGTGCAAAAAACCACTGAGATTCGTTGCCGCATATACAATGATAAGTGCTATAGAACTAGCCTAGTGAAAACTACAGCAACAACTAAACATTGTCCCAGGTGAGGCTCGAACTCACAACCTCGGCATGGCTCAGACACTGTCGTATAAGTACCGTGCGCTAACCGATTGCGCCACTGGGACGGTAACAGCTGATGAAACCTTAACCAATTTATAATACTATTACGGATCTGTCTATACAAGGTGGAAAATCACACCTCGGGGTAATGCACCATGTATTGATTTTGAGTTACTCAATTTTATTAACTTATTACAAAGCTAATGACCAGTAATTCCTCTTATTGCTATTGCAGTTTCGATTATGAATATCTCATTATGACATTATAAGTTGCAGTGTCGAAGTTCTCCCAAAGCTCGCATCCTTACCTTTTAGGGAGAGCCACGTCACTTGAAGATCGAATTGGTAGCTCAGCAAAGAATCATGCAGTATCTGTATCATTAATTGTCACCTGGTGTTGTTCCAGAAATATGAATGTGAATGAACGGCTGCGATGGGTAGTACTTTATCGCATGTGTAGGACGCAAAATAAGTGAAGATGAGCGTGGCTTGGAGACCGTGACTTATACGTAATATCAACAATCTTTGTGCGGTTGCAGTATGATCATATTATATTTCCCTGTATGCGTGAGCACATTTATATGTGGATGCAGTATATATATATATATATATATATATATATATATATATATAATATATATATATATATATATATATATATATATATATATACACTGCACACTCTGTGTGTGTGTTGACTTCAAAGATCTATTTAAAGTGCGGACACGGCAAGGAATATGTAACATTTTCCGAGGTTTCTTGGGCGCTGATCTATTTTCCTGAACTATAATATTTATTCATCTATTCATTTATGCATATATTTATTCTAAACCGTGAATACTCTCTAGAGACGCCATATGCATATTTTAGATGAAAAGTGTAGGGAATATGTAGAATGATTTTATTATTTTAAATGAATACATATATCAGTAACCATTACATATTCATTATCCAGGCTTAACCATAAGAAGGTGAGGGCGAGTAGGAGGCAGACGGCTGGAAGGCAGGGTACTGAGCCACTCCCTCGTACGTCACCTGAGCCACGTATCCTTGGTCGCCGTTGACAGTGTAGGTGACCCTCTGCAGACGACCGTCGGGAAGCTGCACGTAGTAGGATCCCTGAGTGTTGTATCCGTCGCGGCCCTCTTGGTGGCCGAAATCGTTACCGAAGGCGTTGACGTCATAGTTGAAGTTATACTGAGGACGACTCTGATTGGAGTTTAAAGGGATGCATTAGCCATTATTTTATTATGAAACTACACGTCATTTATGAGAATGGCTTTTAAGAAAAGCGTCTGATTTATAAACAAATTCTTAAAGGTAACTTACTACAGAAGCAAAAGTTCCAGCAGGAGAAACCCCTCCGAAGTTGTTGGTAGGCCTAGCAACAGGTCGGAGAAAATTAGCAGCTCCTGCAGACCCACCGAAGGAAGATCCTGGAGCCTGATAGCTCTGAGAAAGGCCTGGCTTTGCACTTGCGACTGCCAGCAAGGAAGCCAGGGCGATAACCTGGTGATAGAGAAGGACTAGTGCTAGACGTGATTAAACGATAATATAGCAACGTGTTAGTCGTATTATGTGACGTGTATGTTTGTGAGTAAAACTACATTTTATATTCATATATGTGTGCAACACACACACACACAATATATATATATCTATATATGAGTATGAATATGTATATATATACGTATGTCTATGTGTGCTTGTATATATATTTGTATATATACACAGGCATAGAATATATATACATATATATGTATATGTATACATATTTACATACATATTTATATGAATATCATGTGCATAAAAAATAAATATTTATATATTAACGTATGTATACAAACATACTCATATGTATATACACATATGTGTATTTCTGTATGTGCATGTGCGCATGTATTTGTATGTATGTATTTATATTGTATATATGTGTATACATACATTTATATATATATATGTATATGTATATACATATATATATGTATATATAAATATGTATATATATCAATATGTGTTTATGTTATAATGCATATGTTTATTTATGTATATATATATATATATATATATATATATATATATATATATATATATTATATATATTATATATATGTAAATATGTAGTATTATATATATATATATACACATATATATATGCATATACATATGCAAACACACACGCATACACACACACACACTCAACAGACGTTCATGCAAACTTGGACTTACCATTAAAGACATGTTTCGTAAAATAAATTGTTATACTTCTGATGATTCTCTCTCTGCTGTGGTGCAGTCGAAACTGTTGTTCGCTGAAGTGACGTGTCCGGCTTTTATACGTGTGATGCATCGCACAGTTTGATTAATTATCATTTCTTTTTATTGGTATATCCATTACATCCTTGAAGTAGCGCAAGAGAATGATGAAATGCGTGACATAATGTGTTCATTGTAAGATTGCTATCATTGGTGAGTTACATCAATATGAAACTAGAGGCGCCTCATTATCATCGGAGGACACAGAAACTCAGAAGTGTGTCTGGTAAGTTTCTTTTCTTTTCTTTTCTTTTTCCTAAGAAATTTCCTAAGAAATTTTCCTTAAACCTACATTTTCTCTAAAGAGTGACAAATGTTAGCAGAGTATCTGAATAAGATGTGAAAAAAGGAAATCAAGAGATAAAATGCTGGAGTGCCATATTTAGCGGACGGAGTTGGGGTGGGGGGGGGGAGTAAGGAAAACATGAAAAACGGAGCCATAATCGATATTATTATTTTTTTTTTTTTTTTTTTTTTTTTTTTTTTTTTTTTGTCGAGACCTCTGAGGAAGATCTTGTGTATTAGTCACCGAGTCAAGTGATCTATAATTAGTTTGATGCCGATAATTCTTACTCCTTACTCAGATGCAAAGGTGGTTGCAAGTGTATACAGAAACAAGGGCTAGCCCGTATTTTTCAACAGCTCTTAAGGAAGCAAGGGTGTTCTTACCTTTACATAACAAAAGGTGATGGATTGTGATGGAAAAGATCTGCCTCTGTACTTTGGCAGGTTTCATATACTCTAATGGATGTTGCTGATGATGCATTTACTCCATTTGAATTACTGGATCTTGAAAGGGTATCCTGAAGACTTTGAACATTTTTTTCGATGCCAAAATCTAATTCGACATATTTCTAGACGAATTATTTCAACAAAACCATGCATTTAATAAGGATCATTTAACATTTATTACCGCTAGAGTTACCGATGGAACCGTCTGGACAGATCAACAAGAATTGTCATTAAAACATTGTCCCAGTGGCGCAATCGGTTAGCGCACGGTACTTATACGACAGTGTCTGAGCCATGCCGAGGTTGTGAGTTCGAGCCTCACCTGGGACATGTTTAGCTGCTGAAACCAAAATTACAATGGTTTGTGTTTATAGGTCGAAGTGGGTCAGCAGCTCTGGGTCAATTATAATCATTCATTTTATCACTCTTACATAAAATATGGAACTGTCTGTATCTTAAATTCAAAAGTTCTCTTCAGCATATTAGCATGGTTGGTACTGAATGAGCTCTAAACCACTTGAAAGGTTGGGCTTGTGAGGGAATTGAAAGGAATCTTGGCTTGAAGGTTTTCATTGGAAGGTGCACATGAAACCCCACGAGACCCATGCCTTGGGTGCCGTGGGCGTGGGTGACGAACGAGGCCGTCGTCAATATCTGAACTATGATCTGAAAGAGAAATCAAATGTTCCACAGGGCTTTAGTCTCTTACTTAATTCCATGCTGGGCGCAAAGTATCCCCCCCCTCCCACACACACATAAGAAAACAAACATTTATATTCGTATACTCACATATATGTATATATAA